GCATTCAGCGAGCTTCGTCTGGGTAGATTCCAACTGGTGGCGGACCAAGTCGTACTTGCGCAGACAGAAGAGTATTGTGAGTTCTACTCAAAACTGGATTGCACGATTGGTTAATCGCCCACGCTCAATGACCCATGCAATCGTTCAGCCTATCATAAATCATAAGGAAACATTACCGAAGATAGGTTTCAATTGCGCGCTGCAAAGCAGAGCGCACCAGCAACGTTTCCTGCATCAGCACGGCAATGGATCCTCAGTCTCACGTGTCGCTTGGGGCCGCAAGAGGCTTTCGATCAGCTGACACTTCGCCGGCGAATAGTGCGCGGAATGGCGCTCGCACGCGTGCATCGCCACATTCAGCTCGTGTATCGCCGTACCCTGAGCGCATTCGAACACCAACGGGAACACCACCACCTCCAGGACCAATACGACGGCGGACACCACCAGCAGTAACTGCCAGTGCACGCTCGAATTCAATTCCAGCGCCATCTACATCTCAACAGCCTACTCTCGGGGCAGAAAGGTCACCTGCAGCGTCAAGTCGAGCTTGGCGTTCTCCGTTCCCTAGTACAGCTAGTCAACCGCGGACTCCAAGTTCAGCACCACGCCGAGCGTCACCCCGAGCTGCATCGCCTATTGGTAGACCTGAACAGCAGCTACCAGCCTCTCCATTGAACGACGCAACATCGCATCAATATCAACTTGTGGTTCAACCTATCCTTAAAGCTACAATGAGCCAGCGAGATGCATCCGGGGAGTCGCTAGAAGACTTTGCGGTAAATGGATCGACGTTTAGGGAAATAGCCCACAAGTTATGGGAGCATTTTGGGCACCACGTGAAAGGGCGAGCTGTGAAACACGATGAAATTTGGTCACTTGAACCTCCTGCTGAAGACCAATTCAATTCGATCAAATGTGCGTTGAGTATCAAAGTAGTCGATGATGCCACGTACACCGATAAATGCCAATATGGACACCCTTGGCTTTCGCTGAAAATCGCCCCTAATAGCGAGTTTTTGTCCCTTGAGCGAGTAGCCGCGTTTCCGGATCATCCCTCGATTGTCAAAAGAAACTTCATCCAGGAATACCAAGTTGTGATGGAACCAGTCGATCTGAGCTAGCTCCTCTACAAAACGGAATATATACCTTTCCTTGATATGCATTGCTCGCCTTTCAAGTACCTTCCACGTCAATTCGAACTCGTGAATAATGCGCCAAACGGACGACTTCAAAATTGTGATGTTACGAGCTCGTACAAACGCGTCTTGAGCCTCGTCAAGATAGGAAAGAGGGTGTTTTGCGTAGTAGTCACAAAGCCATGACCGGTGGACGGCTGAAAACTTCCTTTCACTCGATTTTCCTGCTCGTTCAAACGCCCCTGAAGCCTCGTAGACGCGAATCCAGTTGCCTATCGTGGTGTCGGACTTGTTATAGATTCGAGCGAGCTCCTTGCGCGAGTAACCAAGATAGTAGAAGCCGTATAAGCAGTGAAGTATCGTGTTGGGATGCACATGTTGCTTGGTTACGGCGTCCTCCATGCTTCTGATGTGATCTAGCCTACAGTGTTGCACTACAAGGCTAGTAGCGTCAATAACACATCAATAAGATGAACTAGTTAAATAGAAGTGTGTGGATGGTATGCCTTGATAATAAAAGCGCTCACCTGGTTACAGAGAGC